AGGTGAAAGAAGAAAGCACAAAAACTGGGTTGCAGCTAAACGTCAAAAAAAAACCAAGATTATGGCAACAAGAATGATTGACAACTGGAAAATAGAGGGAGAAACGTGGAGGCCGTGACAGACTTTGTATTTCTAGGTGCAAAGATTACTGCAGATGCAGACTGTAGCCAGGAAATCAGAAGACGCTTACTTCTTGGGAGGAGAGCAATGTCCAATCTCGATAAAATAGTAAAGAGTAGAGACATCAGAATGGCAACAAAGATCCGCCTAGTCAAAGCCATGGTATTCCCTGTAGTAACCTACGGATGTGAGAGCTGGACCTTAGGGAAGGCTGAGCGAAGGAAGATCGATGCTTTTGAGCTGTGGTGTTGGAGGAAAGTTCTGAGAGTGCATTGGACTGCGAGAAGATCCAACCAGTCCATCCTCCAGGAAATAAAGCCCGACTGCTCACTGGAGGGAAAGATACTAGAGACAAAGTTGAAGTACTTTGGCCACATCATGAGGAGACAGGAAAGCCTAGAGAAGACAATTATGCTGGGGAAAGTGGAAGGCAAAAGGAAGAGGGGCCGACCAAGGGCAAGATGGATGGATGGCATCCTTGAAGTGACTAGACTGACCTTGAGGGAGCTGGGGGTGGTAACGGCCGACAGGGAGCTCTGGCGTGGGCTGGTCCATGAGGTCACGAAGAGTCGGAGACGACTGAACGAATGAACAACAACAACAAATATATTTCTCCCATTGCATTAACCACCACACTCTAATTAGAGTGACACAACTCTTTTACAGGAGGTTAGGCCAGAGGTATTAACTCTGCTATCACTTAGAAAATGTCAGGTATTTTCCAAATCCTGATACACACATACCTCCAAGTTTATATTCATCTCATTTATGTGAAAAAGAAAACATGGAAATGCCTTCTCAAACAAATGCTCAGTTGCAACTAAAAGACTAACGTGTAACTGGAATATATTTATTAATCATAGACAAAAATGTTCCGGCTGGTCCGAAGTTCTTTGGGTCTGAGTGTGAATACAAGTCTACATATCAAGGTCTCCTATTCATTCTACGGCGGGAAATATTCCACTGGGGATATGAATCAACTATGCCTGTCTTTATAGTGGGTGGACTGCACCAGGAATTGAATACTTAGCTGAATCGATGTCTGAATTGAGACTGTTCTCCCAGCTCCACTGATATTCGGATTCAAGTTTTTTTTCCATTTTATTTATTTAAATATTTTATTCCCTATCTCTCGTGAAAAAACCAACATAGCATAAATTGGCAACTTTGGAAACAATTTGCAAAAACAATAAAATAGCCATAAAACTCTGCCCCACTGAAGCAAGAAAGTAACAAACAATACAAAATATCTGGAAAGGGTAGAGGGAAATCAGCAATAACAAGCATTTATGCCCAAAAGTCTTCCTCAAAAGTAAAGATTTGAGCATCACAGGAAAAATTGAGATTGTAAAGGAGGAAGTGAAGCCAATCTCAAGAAGGAGATGAAAAACATAGGCATTCACAATGAAAGCCCAACCCTAACTCATCTTCAGTATTTAATTATTTAAAAAATCTCCAGATATTTCAGAGAATATGTAATTTACATTAAGCCATTTGTATTTTCTTGCTTTGACCAACTTACTCATGTGGAAAATTAGTTGCATTTTCTACCCTCCATAACAATATATCGAATGAGTTCAAAGCCAGTCCAGTGATGTGGGCATCAACGTAACTAGAACATTCTCGGTAATCATACAAAAATAGTAGTTCTTTCCTTTCTGAGCAGCTACTGTACCATGCAAGGCAAGATAAGATAAACGAGTAGGGTTTTTCAACATTTATCTTATTACCAAAACCACTTCCTGTACTGCAACTACTGTTATCTCAAAACTTTGGGGAGAGTACATTTATTCAAAATGACATGATACAGAGTGATGTTATTTATGTGCTTCTGTTCAGTGTCATGAAACCGTTCTGATGTTTTGAAGACTCAATACAGTTGTAAGACCCTTCCACATAGCCCTATATCCCAGAATATCAAGGCAGAAAATCCCACATTATCTGAGTGTGGACTCAGATAACTCAGTTCAAAACAGATATTGTGGGATTTTCTGCCTTGATATTCTGGGATATAGGGCTGCATGGAAGGGCCCATAGTTAACCATCTGTAGTGAGGCTTTCACCTCAACTGCTGCTGACCGAATTCAGTTTAATTTGTTTCTTAAAATATTTACATCTCTTATTGTGACATAGGAACACCTTGTACTACAGAAAGCAGATTTTTATATAATGTTCCCCCCAATGGTACAACAAACAGATTTTAAGCAGCAGAACAGCATGATGGAGTAGGATAAACTTGGCTAAACAGTGATTCCCCCCACTTTCCTACCCTTGGGATGAAGTCCCAAGTGTCCTGAATTCATTTAAAACAGTGCAAAGTATGGATTATACGAGAAAGATAACCAAATACAAGACAGCCAAATACACTGGAAAAATGAAATACATAAACTTTTTTTCCGTGTCAGGAGCGACTTGAGAAACTGCAGGTTGCTTCTGGTGTGAGAGAATTGGCCGTCTGCAAGGATGTTGCCCAGGGGATGCCAGGATGTTTTGATGTTTTACCATCCTTGTGGGAGGATTCTCTCATGTCCCCACATGGGAAGCTGGAGCTGACAGAGGGAGCTCATCTGTGCTCTCCCCGTATTCGAACCTGAGCCCACATGATTCAGATATTCATGCTATCAGTATAGACAACAGAATTTCTTAGACATCCTTTATTTTCAAACAGCATAGATCTAGTTCTATTCAAACACACAGAGGTTACTCAAATGATGTGGATCCTTCACGGAGTTCCTTCTAGGCTTCTTTTTCTTCACATGAACCAGGTGATATTAAGCCTAAGGGAACAACATTGATCCATCCAGTCACTTATCATTGGAGAAGCCTTCCAAAAATAATGTAATAATAGTTTTAAAATGGGAAGTGACCAATATCTGTCACAGTAAGCAATAATGCAGTATGTGCTGACCTCTAAACTATATATAGTTAATGACAATGTTCTCTTTCAATTTAAGGGAAGGACAAATGACACAATTTCCTCTTGGCATATTACACATACACAAATCTGTTTCTGTTCAGTACGCAGCACATTTTTAACAGTAATTTGTTACATGCTATATGTGAGGAGGAAATAATAATAATTTATTTCCTCCTCCATCTCCCAAAAAGGATTCAGGGTAGCTTACAGAAGCACATACAAGTGCCATCAATACCTAAAATACAGATAGGATTACATCAACATATTAAGACAAGGGTCCTCAAACTAAGGCCCGGGGGTGGGGGTGGATGCAGCCCTCCAAGGTCATTTACCCGACCCTCATTCAGGGTCAACCTAAGTCTGAAACGACTTGAAAGCACACAACAATAACAACAATCCTATCTCATTAGCCAAAAGTAGACCCACACTTCCCATTGAAATGTTTTACCAGCCTTGTGGGAAGATTCTCTCATGTCCCCACATGGGAAGCTGGAGCTGACAGAGGGAACTCACCCCACTCCCTGGATTTGAACCACCGACCTTTTGGTCAGCAGTCCTGCTGGCACAAGAGTTTAACCCATTGTGCCACTGGAGGCTCCTGGTCAAGATAATAAAAGTTACTAATGAGGAAGGTCACACAACCTAGAAAAGTCTGCAGGAGTTCACTTTTGCCTCATCCTGTTGGGAAGGGTAAGATTCTTCTTCTGTTTCTCTGACCCAGTTAATTAATTGTGCAAAAATGACTTTTTCACTCTGAATTAAATTTACAACTATTGAAATAAGATGAGGATAAAGAAAGAAAGTGAGGGGTAGAGAGAGAAACCAGGACAAATCTGCCAAATCAGAACATTTGAAGGGTATGATGCAGATTCAGTATCCTTCCAGTACATCATTTTGGCATGTGCATGTGGCCAATCTTTAAAATAGATGATTTTTTTTTAAAAAAAAACAATCTAATCCCACCTACATTCAATTATCCAGATGGAATTTGATTGAGAGACACCGATTCTGCTCCTCACAAAACAAGATGTGAAAAAGAGACAAAAGCTGTATCTGCACTGTAGAATTAAAGCATTTCGAAAGCACTTTAACTACCATGACTCAATGCTATGGAGTCATTCAAAAGTAGTTTTGTAAGGTCTATAGCCTTCTCTGCCAAAGACTGCTGGTACCTCTCCAAACTACAAATCCCAGGATCCCATAGCATTTAGCCATAGCTGTTGAAGTGGTGTTCTACATTAATTCTGCAATGTAGACACAACCTAACAAAGGAAATGTGATAGAAAAGATTTGTATTCAAAGGCTAAAGTGTTGTATTTTAAGAGAAAGTTTAAACTGCAAAGTTAGAGAGATGTGGGAGTAGAAGAAGGAGTAAATTCCTGTCTAAGGAGTTAGCTAGGGAGAAAGGACAAAACAAAGGAGGTTGCAATGTAATCATAATGAAATAATGGCAGAGTAAGGATGTAAAGGGGGCAAATAATGAAAAGTAAGAAGGGGTGGATGAAAAGATGCTGTGAACACACAGGCTTAAAAAAAATAAAGGTCAATAGGAATGTTTGCATGATGGCAGCTACAGAGCATCTATTCAATGTGCAGCTCTTTGAAAGTCATGATTGCCACATCTCCTTGTATCACCCCACGAGGAGTTCACACCACAGTTACTCTCCATGCCAACTTTAACTCGGTTTTTCCAAGAGATTGAAAGTGGCACAGCTATGGTTCGGGTTTCTTCTGTAGACTTCAGAACTCATCACTTTCTCCTGCTATTGTTACATACATTTTAGGACAGTGGTTCTCAACCTGTGGGTCCCCAGATGTTTTCACCTTCAACTCCCAGAAATCCTAACAGCAGGTAAACTGGCTGGGATTTCTGGGAGTTGTAGGCCAACACACCGAGGGACTGACAAATTGAGAACCACTGTTTTAGGGCTATAATAGCTGTAAAGCACTTGAAGACTCTTACGTTGACATTTTGGAGGATCTGGTTTCCATTTAACTCCATCTCCCTCTAGGACACACTGGGCTGAAGATGATCCATTTAATTTGTACCTGAGGAAAAAAAAAGAGCAGGTGGCACATTTTTATCTCAATCTGCTACAGCTCAGTTAGGAGCCTATGTAACGGTAAAGGTTTTCCCCTGACATTAAGCCGAGTCATGTCCGACTCTGGGGGTTGGTCCTCATCTCCATTTCTAATCTGAAGAGCCAGCATTGTCTGTAGACAACTCCAAGGTCATTTGGCCAGCATGACTTCATGGAGAACTGTTACTTTCCCACCTGAGCGGTTTCTGTTGATCTACTCACATTTGCATGTTTTCAAACTGCTAGGTTGGCAGAAGCTGGGGCTAACAGTGGGAGCTCACACCGGATTCAAACCTGTGACCTTTCGGTCAGCAAGTTCAGCAGCTCAGCGCTTTAACCCACTGTGCCACCGGGAGCCTACACATTTGTAAAATCTATTTCTTTGTGGAAAGAATTGAATGCTGACATGTGCTAGTCCCTGTCTATAACAAATGCACTTGAAAAATGTACTCTGATGACTAACAGAGAATACATGGCGTGTTCTAGCATTATTTTCTCCTGGCCAGAGATGCAGGTGAAACAGCAGGAGAAAATGCTCCTAGAATATGGCTATAGAGCCCGGAAACCACACAACAGCCCAGTGATTCCAGCCATGAAAGCTTTCAACAATACAACAAGGAACTATGCCAAGTTTTCTATGCTTCTGTTAGAAACAGACTCAATTAAATTGTTTTCAAACTTTTAATCTCATTTTATGGCTTTTAAAACACGGCAATAGACATTTTTTCTTTTATGTTGGAAATGGCAACCTTCTACAAGCCTTCTATTCTAGTTATTTCTTATATATATAATTGTGATTGCTTAATATATTTTATGTATATATTGATATGCAGTTTTCCTTAACTATATGTTGTGGGAGGAGTTGCAGACCATGTGATTAGATCTGGCATTGTTCAGGAGTCAGACTCCAATTTAGAGACAACATGCTTTCAGAAGCCATTAGACTTTCAATGTAGAAACAGTAAAGTTTAGAAGTCAGTAGAAACAAAATGCTTGAGATAACTCACTCCATGAGACTCCATTAGAACAGAGAGATGCTTTTGACTTTGGACTGTTGATTATGAGAAAGATGCCTTGTGTTATCTGCATGGAGAAACTACTTCAAATTCTATCCATAACTGGACTGATAAGCAATGTATCTGTAGGCTGAATACATGAAGGTTGTGAATAACCCAACTATATTACTTTTAAAGAAGTCTACTTATTTTTGTCTCGAGAGAGATTTAAACCAGGATGTTTTAAGAGAGAGTAGATGTTATATATGTATGTTTTTATGCATTGGCATATCTTTGTCCCTAGCAGTTCAAAGGGATATCTAGGTATATCAGTTTAAAGGCTGAGAAACCTAATTGCATTGCATGAGAAACCTAATTGCATTGCATGAATACCAGTGGATAATTACCACTAAGGAGAAGGTTGACTCCTTAGTGGTAATTAGAAGCAAGTTTCTAACTCTTCTCCAGGAGATTCCTGATTTTCCCAAAATGATGGTGAATGCCATTTTCCAAAAGGCTATGGCATCATTTTTTCTAAAAAGGTTATGATTTCTAACAAGGTCATGCCTTTCCAAAGATCATATTTTTCCAAAATGTCATTCATCTAACTCATTTATTTTAATGGGTCTGCTCCAAACGTGACTAAGTCAGGATTTATTCTATACATTTTACATCAGTTGCTTTAAAAAAATAGCCAGGTCAATACCCACCCTTCCTCACAGATGAAGTTTACTTTTGCTAAATAAAGGAGGTTAGTTAGAATAACAGTGTCACCGTTTTCTGGTTTGCTTGGATCACCACATGGTTTCCCTAGTAGAAAACCAAACAAACAAACAAAAAAAGCATGTAAGCACACTGATTTCTTCACTGTAATGTAACAAAGAGCCAAGTACAATTAAAATCACTTAGTTTAACAACTTTAAAGGCCGTCAAGGGAGAATGCTTTTCCATTTATAATCAGCACATGACAAAATTTAATGTAAGAGACATGTACCTGGGATTATACTACCCAGGTTAAAAGCAAATGAAATACATTATATTGAGATGTAGATACATATATATATTAGATTGTTCACATTTTTTCCAAAACAACTTATTTACTGAGTCCATACCCTTATATTATAGGGTAGACTTGAAATTAAATGAGATAATAAAATACTAACCTTCACAAAAAACTGGGAGCGCTGTCCAGGTATAATTTGTAAAGCATGTCACAGTAGAACTGACCCCAGGGATGGTGTTATAACCCAGACGACACGTATAGGAAACTTTGGAGTCTGCGGGGTAGTAGGTGTGGATATCCTTAGGGTTTATTCTAGCAAATCTGGACCTTGGTGGGTTAACACAGCTGCCTGGCAACAAAAGGAAACAACAGATAAGAAAAGTATGCCAGTAGCAAGGGCTATAGAAGTTAGGCTTCACCTTTTGCATAAACCACCATGTGATATACTTAGTTAGCATAACTTTTTAGCCAGTCACAACATTGTCTGTTCTAGCTCTCCAAACATGTCAAAATGAAACATGTATTGGGTGAGCTTATGATGGTACAAATGCTTGAATAGCTCAAAGCCTCTTGCCAATTGATTACAGAATGGCCTTAGACTCTCATCCCTGGATGGTGTGTTTTAACATTGGAATGCATTTTAATTATGTTTAATATGTATTAAATCTAATTTATTTTTAACATTGTATGTTTTAAGGCACTGTCTAGGTGCTACATGTAAGCTGTCTTGAGTCCCCCTTGGGGTAGAGAAAGGCAGGATATAAATAAGGTAAAGAAATAAATAAATGCTCCAAATACCTCTGCATCCATTTTACTTCACCTTCTCTGTGTTCCCTTGATTTTTTTTCTTTCCTCTTTGCTACTCTGCTTCTGAATATGCATGGCCAGTGTGGAACACATCCCAGCACATTAAAACACTGAATGTGACTCTTAATAAGACATGCCACATTATCACAGGATGTCTATGCCCTACACCACTGGAGAAATTGTACTATTTGAACAGCCTTGAGTCACCTCTGGCTGAGAAAGGTGGTATACAAATGTGGTAAATAAATAAATAAGCCGGTAATGCACCACCTGATATCCGCCAGGAAGTAGCAGCCAATAATGAAAGGACCAAGGCAGTGATATCGCCAGCCCATCCTCTGTTCAAATATCAGCCAACATGCCAATGCCTTAAATCAAGAAATAGTTTTCTAAGATCTACAGAGGTACTCTCAGGAACACCTCAGCAAGCAAGATTCCAAAGGTGGCAGGCTAAAACCTGGAACCTCAATTCATGGCATGGAAGACTGTGTGACTTGGAAGATGCTGAACAGACTGCACTCTGGCACGATGAGATGCAGAGCCAACCTTAAGAAATGGGGCTACAAATTGGAGTCCATTACATGTGAGTGCGGAGAAGAGCAAACCACAGACCAGCTATTACAATGCAGTCTGAGCCCTGTCACATGTACAATGGAGGATCTTCTTACAGCAATCCAGAGGCACTCCAAGTGGCCAGCTACTGGTGAAAGAACATTTACTATAATACCAAGTTCTTAACTTGGTTTGTGTTTTTAAATACATTATAACTATACCCTCAACTCGCTTCTGACACAATAAATAAACACATTTTCATTTCCTTACCATTTACATACAACCTAGGCACTACTTTGATGAAAGATGCCCTATTTGCTAAACACTCTTTGCAGCTTGTTCTGTGAAGAAGGGCAGGAAGACTTACGTTCGCAAAACTCCTCGATGGAGGTCCACTGTGAATCTGAAAGGCATGTTACAATATCCAGCTTCCCATAGATATTATAAAAACCATCCAGACATTTGTAGGTTACTGACTGCATGTAAGAGAAGCTTTCTCCAAGAAATTTTTCATCTGGAACGGCATTGTTCAATTTTGGTGGAGGTCCACAATCACCTTAAACAGATAGAATATTGACATTAATCACTGCATAGCTGATTTGTTTTTCAAATATTTTATAGATTTACACTGAGCATTACCAGAAAAGTATGGCATAACTATATGCAACATATGCAAAATTCATGCAAATCTTCATTAAATGGACATGGATGACAATTTATAAATTATTCCAAGCACAAAAACCTTTTACTAATAATCAGTATCACACTTGCCTCAGTCACACTTGCTTCAAGCAGACAAAAGTTCTTTCTTGCACCCTAATAAAAGGCAATGTTTGTATTTATGTATGTGGATATGTATGTATGTAAGTATGTATGTATGTATGCCCACTCTACATCCTGGTGTGGTTTGGAGGAGGATGGACCATGGACAATGGGACTTGCATATTGGAGTTGTAGTTCACCCACACTCACTGAACCCAGCTGACATTGGATCTAGACTAAACTTGGAGCACAGACAAACAATGCCTTTCTCACATAACCCGGGCATCTCCGGGTCCCCAAGTTAGTATGTATGGATGTATGTATGTATTTGTGTATGTGGCACCTTTCTGATTGGCTGCCACTTCCACAGGCCACTACAACCTCCACGAATGATAGATCTGGGTCAAACTAGGTACACATAACCCCCAACCCACTTTACGTCCTGGTGTGGTTCTGGGGAGGATGGACCATGGATTATGGGATTTGCTGTCCTTTCAATCACTTGGGCTCCTACAAACCACTGTGGCTACCATCAATGACAGATCAGTACCAAACTTGGCACAAAGACCTCCCATTTTACGTCCTGGTGTGTTTGGGGGGGGGGGGGATTGGACCACAGATGATGGCACTTCTGAGGCCACTGTGACCCACACCAATGACAAACTTGCCACACAGAGCCCACATGACCCACTTTACATCCTGGTGCAGTTTGGGGGACCATGGACAGTGGGATTTGCAGTACCTTCACCTGATTCACTTCCCACCAACACTGCGGCCCCCACAAATCACAGACCTGGACCACACAGACACCCCCCCCCCCCATGACCCACTTTACATCCTGGTGTACTTTGGAGGGAATGACAGACCATTGATGATGGGATTTGCAGTACCTTCACTCACTTCCAAAGACCACTGCGACCCACACCAATGACTGACCAAGACCAAACTTGGCACACGAAGCCCACATGACCCACTCTACATCCTTGTGCAGTTTGGAGGAGGATGGGCCATGGACGATGGGACTTACTTATGGGAGTTGTAGTTCAACTGCACCCACTGAACCCAGCTGGCATTGGATCTAGACTAAACTTGGAGCACATACAAGCAATGTCTTTCTCAAATAACCTGGGCACCCCTGGGTCCCCAAGCTGGTAGATATATAAACCTCAGTTGTCTAGTTTCCAACAGACCCCTCAACCTCTAAGGATGCCTGCCATAGATGTGGACAAAACGTGAGGAGAGAATGCTTCTGGAACATGGCCATACAGCCTGGAAAACTCACAGCAACCCAATCAGTATCTCATTCAAACTGACAAGTTTCAAACATAATGAAAGAAAAATAACCTGAAATAGAGGCCAGCATTTTTGTTTCTAAAAACAAAAATATAACTAGGCAACATTTTGGTTCCAAGGCAGCAAACAACATTGATATTGTTGTTAACATTACATCTTTTCAAGTAAATAATTTATCCCTAGGCATCAGTTTTAAAAATCTAATTTCCTGTTCAGCAGTCTGACATCTTTCTTCTGCAAATTATTTGCAAGGGTGGTGGCAGGACTGAACCAAGCTTCCTTGGAGAAGACCTGGCTATTTGACTGAAAGCCAAGGGTGTAGTTGTAATGCTGAAATCAGTTGCTCTAAATGAAAGTTTCCATAGCCACACCTACCATGGAGATCTAGGGAAATATGCAGGAAAGCTGTGCTGATTTATATCAACAAAATAAATCTAGCAGTTCTCATTACTAGTTTGCTACTTTATTACAACGCACAACTGGTTTCCAAATCTAGACTACTCAATACAAACTGGCTTTATTCCTACTTTTTGAAACATATATATTGTGATTTTTTTTAACCAGTTGCTTGTTAAAAACCAGCACCCAGGCCTCTTTATTACTCTTACAATGAAAAAAAATGTAACTTCCACTCATTATAACTTAATATTTATTATTTCAAACACAACAAGATTAGTACACAGCAAACAAGATCACTATGCTGGTTGTTGTATTGGATCACACATCAGATACTTCCCAAGTGTCTAGGACTATGTGATATATTGACAAATAATGCATGCAGATCGCAGTAAGGTGGCCTTTTGCAGCTGACAGATGGTAATTTTGTCAGCGCCGATTGTGTTTAAGTGCAGGCCAAGGTCTTTAGGCACTGCACCCAATGTGCTGATCACCACTGGGACCACCTTGACTGGCTTGTGCCAGAGTCTTTGCAATTTTTGAATCCTCGTATTGTGTCATCTTTTCCAGTTGTTTCTCTTCAATCTCGCTGTCACCTGGGATTGCAACATTGATGATCCATACTTGGTTTTTTAACATGATTGTGAGATCATGTGTTGTGCTCCAAAACTAATAGTTATTATAATTATATTTATTTCTATCTCACTTATCTCTCCCTCAAAGTGGTTTAACATAGAAGCATTAGTATAACCATTTCTTTTGTTGCTTGATGCTTGTCTATTATTGTTATGTTAGTTTTATGCTTTTAAATTGCATTTTGTTATTGCTCTGCTTTTAATTGTATGTTTCCTGGGCTTGGCCTCATGTAAGCCCCCCCGAGTCTCTTTGGGGAGATGGAGGCGGGGTAGAAAAAAATAAAGTTCTCCTTAAGCATCCTGGCTCAATACTATTCTGGGATTTGTAGTTTGGTGAGGTGCTAATGATTGTTATACTGATGTTATACTGATGTTTAATTATTTATGTTACAATTGCTTTTAATTTGAGTTGCCTGAGGGCTGAGAAAAGCGGTATATAAATAAAGTAAATAAAGTAAATAAATAAATAAATATCTTTTGGGCAGAGAAGGCTAAAAACCATGTAAAACGACAACTCTTAGGATCCCATAGTAATGAGCCAGGGCAGTTGAAGTGGCATCAAACTACACCCATCTTCAGAGTTGCCAATCCTCCTTCTGAAATACAGCCCAGGCACCTGGTATTCAACTGGTAGCCTCCCATCCAAGTCCTAACCGGGGCTGACCCTGCTTAGCTTCACAAGATCAGAGGAGACCTGGTGCCATGAAGGCGCTTACTCACCCCAAATCCCGGAGAGCAGCGACAAGAGACCAAGGAGCGTCCAATTGCGGCGGGAGAGTGAAGGGCTCCCCATGTCACTTGGGGCTCCCTCGAGGGCAGAGAAACGTAGCCACAGGGTCCCAACCTGGGAGGGGAAAAAGCAGGATGCTCTGGGGGGAAATGGGGGCAGGAAAGCCGGCTCCAAGCGGCGGCAATTTCCTCCGCCCCCAGGAAAGGCGACAGTGGGCTGTGCGCTCTCCACTTTTCACTACTTCTTCTTTCAGTTTCCCCATTTCCGGAATTTTGTTTTGTTTTGTTACACCCTGTAAGAGTCTGGTGGTGCCTGGGCTTCCAAAAACGCCCCCGCTGCTTGTCGATGTGGGGTTTTGCTGCCTTTTGGGACGAGGCAGGCACTCCTATCCCGCTCCATTTGCTGCCTTGGTGGTGTTCCCCCCTCCCTTTAAGACTGAACTGTGAGCTGCTTAAAAGCCAAGGAAAGAGAGGTTTTTAAAGGGCACCGAGGAGGGGGGGGGGACGGGGGGACGGGACTGAAAGAGGTTTCGGCTCTTGCTTTCAGGAGCGGACAGCGTTTGCTGAAGCTCTCCATCTCTGCTGCTTTATTGCATCTACACAGGTGTTATGGTGGGAGTTGAAGTCCAAAACGCCAGGAGGGCCAAAGTTTGCCCATGCCTGAGCTACATGGTTGAATGAGCAGTTTGACCCTATTTGGGTTTGTAGTTTGGAGAGACACCAGCTCTCTCTGATGATGATGATGATGATGATGATGATGATGATGACAATAATAATAATAGAAACAACAGGAAAAGCTGACACGATATGAGGATTTAAAGATCGAAACACAAAGACTGGCACAAGCCAGTCAAGGTGGTCCCAGTGGTGATCAGCACACTGGGTACAGTGCCTAAAGACCTTGGCCTGTACTTAAACACAATCGGCGCTGACAAAATTACCATCTGCCAGCTGCAGAAGGCCACCTTACTGGGATCTGCACACATCATTTGCCAATACATCTTACACAGTCCTAGACACTTGGGAAGTGTCCGATGTGTGAACCAATTCAATAGCCAGCAGAGTGTCTGCTGTGGACTCATCTTGTTGTGTTTATAATAATAATAATAATAATAATAATAATAATAATAATAATAATAATTATTATTATTATTATTATTATTATTATTATTATTATTATTGAACACACAAAAATACTGTGGGACTTTCGAATCCAGACTGACAAAGTTTTGGAACACAGTACACCAGACATCCTGATTGTGGAAAAGAAAAATAATTGGATTATTGATGTCGCCATACCAAGTGACCATCTCATTGAGGAAAAACAACAGGAAGATCTCAGCCATTATCAGGACCTCAAAAGCAAACTGCAAAGGCTCTGGCATAAACCAGTCCAGGTGGTCCCAGTGGCCATTGGCACACTGAGTACTGTGCCAAAAGATCTCAGCCAGCATTTGGAAACAATAAACATTGACAAAACCATGATCTGTCAACTGCAAAAGGCCACGGTACTTGGATCTGCATGCATCATTCAAAAATACATCACAGAATCCTAGACACTTGAGAAGTGTTCGACTTGTGATTTTGTGATACAAAATCCAGCATATTGATCTCATTTGCTGTGACATACTGTGCTTTTGTGTCAGTATAATAATAGCACTTCTGTAGTTGTTTTGCTTCCAGTTGCCTTATAGGCCATGCCCTGGTTGCTCAGCAGTGGGTCCTGGTTCCTTGTACCCACTTGTTCACGGGTGCCCAGGAGAAGTACTTACCATGGTCCTTATCCTGGACGACGACCAAGCCATTATAGACTTCTTTAGAGTGTGTTTCACCATATTTAAATGGGTTGGATGCACTTAGTTCTGTTTCTCAGTTGAGACCACTGTGACTTGGTTGAACCTGCTGGTAGTGTACACTACTGCTAGCACAGCTCACAACGTGCACTTGGCATGAACTTAAACATAATCGGCGCTGACAAAATTACCATCTTCCAGTTGCAAAAGGCCACCTTACTGGGATCTGCACACATCAGTCGCTGATACATCACACAGTCCTAGACACTTGGGAAGTGTACGAAGTATGACCAATATAACAGCCTGCATAGTAATCTTGTTTGCTGTAAACTCATCTTGTTGTGTTTCAAATAATAATAGCACAATACTCCTGACATCATGATTGTGTTAAAAAACCAAGTATGGATTGCTGATGTTGCAATCCCAAGTGACAGCAGGACTAAAGAGAAACAATGAGAAAAGCTGACAGATACGAGGATTTAAAGATCGAACTGCAAAGACTCTGGCACAAGCCAGTAAAGGTGGTCCCAGTGGTGATCAGCATACTGTGTGCAGGACCTAAAGACCTTGGCATGCACTTAAACACAATCGGTGCCGACAAAATTACCATCTGGCAGCTGCAAAAGGCCATCCTACTTGGATCTGCACACATTATTCTCTATACATCACACAGTCCTAGACTGATGTGTCTGATGTGTGATCCAACATCCAGCATAGTGATCTTGTTTGCTGTGTACTAATCTTGTTGAGTTTCAAAGAATAATAATAATAAGGTAAAGGTAAAGGTTTTCCCCTGACATTAAGTCCAGTCATGTCCAACTCTGGGGGTTGGTGCTCATCTCCCTTTCCAAGCCGAAGAGCCGGCATTGTCCATAGACACCTCCAAGGTCATGTGGTCGGCATGACTGTATGGAGTGCTGTTACCTTCCCGCAGGAACGGTACCTATTCATCTACTCACATTTGCATGTTTTCAAACTGTTAAGTTGGCAGAACCTGATGCTAACAGCGGGAGCTCATGCCGCTCCATAATAATAATAATAATAATAATAATAATAATAATAATAATGATGATGATCGGGAAATCCAGAAAATCAGGAGGAAGAGGACTTCTGCAAGTGAAACAAATGGTAGAAGAGAAACATACACTGGCAGATTATGTGAAAGGCAGTAAAGAACCAACATTGGTGGAAGTCAATAGTAGAAAACTACTCGAAGTGCAAAAGACAAAGAGGGAATAATGTAAAAATACAATGCGAAGCAGAAGGGAAGACTGGCAAAAGAAGGCTCTCCATGGACAATTCCAGGGAAAAATTAAGAGCAAAATTGAAAAGGAAAAAAACATTGATATGGCTCACAAATGGAACTTTGAAAAAGGAGACAGAGGGCCTGATTTTGGCAGCCCAAGAACAAGCCATTATAATCAATGCCATCCAAGCCAGAATTGAAAAGTTGACGACAGATCCCAAGTGTAGACTCTGCAAGGAAGCAGATGAAACGATGGATCACATCCTCAGCTGCTGCAAGAAGATTGTGCAGCCAGACTACAAGCAGAGGCATAACACCATTGATGATCCATTGGAACTTGTGCCACAAATACCATCTACCTATGACAAAGAACTGGTGGAATAACAAGCCTGAAAAAGTTACAGAAAATGAAATTGTCAAATTACTCTGGGACTTCCGAATTCAGACTGACAGAGTTTTGGAGCACAATACTCCTGACCTCACAATCATGGAAAAAAACAAGTATAGATCATCGATGTTGCAATCCCAGGTGACAGCAGGACTGACGAGAAGCAACTGGAAAAGCTTACACAATATGAGGATTTAAAGATAGAACTCTGCAAAGACTCTGACACAAGCCAGTAAAGGTGGTCCCTGTGGTGATCGGCATATTGGGTGCAGTGCCTAAAGACCTTGTCCTGCACTTAAACAGAATCAGTGCTGACAAAATTATCATCTGTCAGCTGCAAATGCCACTCTACTCAGATCTGCATGCATTATTCGCCAATACATCACACAGACCTAGACACTTGGGAAGTGTCCAACGTGTGATCAAATACAAAAGCCAGAATAGTGATCTTGTTTGCTGTGTACGAATCTTGTTATTTATCATATAATAATAATACATTTTATTTATTACCCACTCTCCTGATGGCTTGAGGCGGGGTACAACAAATTAAAAAACAAATGAACATAAGAGTACAATAAATTACATAGATAAACACCACACACACACAATTTTAAAAAAATTATTTATAGCTTGGGTACCCAACATTGCCCAGGTTATTTGAAAAAGCCAATTTTTAATTGTACAAAATGCATAAGGTTGTGAGTGAACTACAACTCACACCATGCCAGGTTAACCCCCGAGAAACTCCATCAGTACTTAAAGTTTGTTATGTTGGGCAAGTTTGTTCTAGATGCATCATTGGAGGGGTTCAGTGTACTCTCTGGCTGCAGGATAAACTACAACTTCCACGATGGTGAGTCAGTCCCCCTCAAACCCTTCCAGTAGATTGAGTTAGTCATGGGGATTCTGTGTGCCAAGTGTGGTCCAGTTCCATCATTGGTGGAGGTCACAGTTTATCTGGTTGTGGGTGAACTACAACTCCTAGAAAGGAAGGTCAGTTCCCCTCAAACCCCTCCAGAAATAAAATTTCAACATAGCAAGTTGAAGGACCATTAACTATGATTAATTATTTTTCTGAGTAATGCTGATTCTTATAGCTACTTTCCCAATGAAGTATAAATAATTGATTTAGAAACAATGGCCTGACAAGCCACAACTTCCTTGTTGCGGTTCAATATAATCTGAGCTCTTTGGCTTTGCAAACTTATTTTGGAGTGCTTTGTTGTGGGTGTTGCCACAGGGAAGTGTTTCTGTGGAACTACTCTCTTTTTGGCACCTCCTTCTGAATGCATAACCACTGCTGCTATGTACATGTTTGTGGGATATTACTTACAAAGAGAATGAAAGTTTCACTCAATGCCTGGAACCTTTTATTCAGTATTCATTTACTTTTGACAAGTATCCTCAGATAAACAGTTTACTTTCCACATGCTCTTCATCTTTTATTCATTTAACAAAGTACAAATCTGTAAAATCAAATATGGGATTTAAAAACAACACTATTTACAGAAACACACACAAAAAAAAACCCTTGAATTTTACATGCCTTGGCTCCAACCTCTCCCTTTTGAGATGTAATTATTTCAGTGATAAAATTAGATTTCTTCACTCTGTTTCAATTACAGTTTTACAACATAAAGCACATATTCGTTGCTTTAAAATATGCAATACAGAATTGATATCATGCACATATAGTTTTACATTTTGAAAACACAGGAGAGAAATAATAAATGTTTAGCTATTGCTCTGTATGAGAAGTCCTGAAGAACTGCGGTGGATTTTGCTGTTTGCATGCCTCCTGAGATCTTGACCTAAGACTTGAAAAAAAGAA